AAATACATATAAATGGTTTCAATTTAAAGATTTAAAATTGTAGCATATTCTACATATATAACTATGTTCGTTTAATAATTGAACAAACTCCAGCTTGTTCGCAAACGTTCACTAAACATTAATTCTATACAATTTTTATTTATGTTTATATATATAATATTTTTTTTATAAAAACTCTAAAATATGATTTTTTTTTTTTAATTTTTATATTCGAGCTTAAATGAGTTCGAATGAACATCTTGTGCTAATCAAATAATTGTAAAATATTTCATTGCCTGGTACGGGTCTTAAATCCTTCACCGGCCTAGCCCGCCCATGTCTGACCACCCCAGTCTCACCCTCTTTTTTGTTTATATTTATATTATATTAACATATATATAATTAAATAATAATAGGAGTGGTATCTTTTTACCAAAAATTAAAAAATCGAACCGAACCTATGAGAAAATAAACAACAACATACCGATTAATTTATAACGGTAACCGATAATAATTTATTGAAAATCACTCAATTTGGTGTCAGTACTTCTCCATGAAGCTAGTTCGGTTAGAACTGAATGGCATCAAAATGATACAAATTTTTTTAAAACATAATACTACAATAAAATTGTAGTATTATTAGTGTTGAATTTACGTACTCCCATTTTACTCTATTAGCACCCCAAAATCCCTAACTCTCAATTTACCAATTCACCTCCGTTTCCCAAACTTGCGATCATTACATCCCACGAGCGCCGGCGACAAATTTTCTAGTTCATCTTCTCCGGTATCTCGGGCACGGCGGCTAACATCTCTGGTCCCTTAAGATCGGCTGCTCGCCAAAATTCAAAAGGAATTCTTCTTTCTCGATTGGATTTATTTTCCGTTCTGTAAGTCTAAAAATTCCCTTTTCTGAACAGAATAATAAATTCAGCAAGCATAAAGCTAATAAATTGTCCAGAATTATTATTATGCATCAGAAACAATAAATTATAGATTGGCATTAAAAGAGTAGCACTTCATGAAAATGTCTTGAAATAATGTTTCTTGATTATACATTTTCTTAAATTATATTTTTGCTTCAAGAAAATGTCGGACTGGTTAGTCATTTTTGGCTTTTAGTTTGGTACATATATTTTTTATTTGAATTATTTAGTTTTTCTACATCTTTTAGTTAAAGATTTAATTTCATTTGCAATTTTTATTTATGGAATATTTAGTTTTCCTAGATCTTTTAATTAATAATCATTTACAATTTTTCTATATGAAATATTTAATTTTCCTAAATCTTTTAGTTAATGATTTAGTTTCTTCTCCAACTTTTCTCTATGGACTAAGATATATTTTAATCCTATGTGTCGACCATCTATATGATACTCATTTTCTTATAACATATTTTGTTTTGGTTTGTATTTCCTTATACAATTTACAGTTATATTAATAATATTAAAATAAAATATTGTAAGTATTATAACTAATTAAATTGAAATATGGTAGGCTAACTTTTATAATTTATTTTTTAAAAAAAAGTTATAAACGTAAAGTTAATAAATAATTATTGAATTGCACAATATGTTAGGTTAATAAATAGAAAGTTGTAATTAATTAATAAATATTGAGTAGTAATTAATAAATAGATTAACTTAATAATAAATAGGGAGATGTAGTTAATTAATAAATATTGAGTTGGGATTAATAAATAGGTTAACCCACGCGTTCAAGTATAATAACTACCCCATCCTATATTAAATTAACTGACCACGTTACTAACCACGTCTAAAACACTCTTCTCTAACTACAGAACTACTCTTCTACAAACTCCAAATCATCTTACCTCCTGAACGCAACTACTACTGAATCATCTTATTACCTCTGGAACGCAATTACATTTTGAGTATTACACTCATACATTTATTTGGCAGACATACTTCTATGGGAGTGAAACTTCAAACAATAGGATGGGATTTGAATTATCCGCCAGAGTCTGTAAGTGCAAATTTTATTTTATTTTTTCTTCTTTTCACAAATATATGATACGACGAATAATTTGATTCTTATCTACACACACAAGAATGTAACACTGCAAATTTTATTTTATTTTTTCTTCTTTTCACCAATTCTTATCTACACACAAGAATGTAACACTGCAAATTTTATTTTATTTTTTCTTCTTTTCACCAATATATGATACGACGAATAATTTGATTCTTATCTACAGACACAAGAATGTAACACTAAAGAGAAGGCATTGATATTGCAGCTGGACTTGAATAAGCTACCAACATATGAAGGGTTCACATCAGCGACTCAGGAAACATTACGGTATCTTGACTTGAACAAGCAATGTATGACGGGTTCATCTCTGCGGCACAAGAACGAGCGAAGGCTCAGCGAGTTCTATTGGGGCATAATCATGAAATGTTAAAAATATTACTTCCAAGTTTATTTGAGGATAAAATAATTAGTAGTTTGTATTAATTGTACTTTGATGTTTTATCAATTGAATTTTTTATTATTGTATTGACGAAAGAAAATAATTGTATTTTATTTTATTTTTCTTTAATCTTACTTGCTTATTTTCAGTGGTATTAATGAATTCATTTGATACAAAACAATTTTACTGAATGCAACAATAAAAAATAGAAGATGCCATTATATTGTAATTGCCACTAATATTAAGATGTTAAGAACAAAACAATCCATTTTTAATTTGGTTTCTATTGCTGATTAGTTAGGAACAAATAATCTAGTTTCTAATTTAGTTTCTATTACTGAATAATTAGGAACAAATAATCTCGTTTCTAATTTGGTTTCTATTAATGAATAATTAGGAACAAATATTCCCGTTTCTAATTTAGTTTCTAATAATGAACAATTAGGAACAAATAGTCTCGTTTCTAATTTGGTTGCTATTTCTCGAAGACTAGAAACGGCTTGCTTGTTACAAAAGCCGTTACTGATAGCAACGGAACGGAATCCGTCTCTGAGCATCAGAACCCTTGTTTTCACTAACCAATAATGAAACGGATTTTTTTTGTTCCTATTATTTATTAGCAACGGAAAATACACTTTAACCAACAGAATTTTTTGTTCTTGATGATTCATATTCTAGTAGTCTCCGTAGCCAGTTTTACTCACTGCGAGGAGCTCCTTGCCCCTCGATGAAATCCCTATTTCTTGAGGTCGGTATTCCCCGAGATCGACGCTCTATTCCTCGAGGACGATTCTATGCTCCTCGAGGTCGGCTCTCTACTCCTCGAGGATGATTCTCTGCTCCTCGAGGCCGACTCTACTCCTCGAGGACGATTCTCTTCTCCTCGATGTGATCAATTCTCTACTCCACGAGGATGATTCTCTGTTCCTCGAGGTTCACCCACCTAGAATAGTATCTAGGGCAAGGTTTTCATTCGGGATAATTCTAAGTCGATCTCTTGTACTCAGAGGTCGACATCTCGAGCCTTGTGGCTCGAGGAACGAAGTACACTCCAATATTTAGCAGGCTTAACGGATAAGGAGGAATTTTAGGAGGATAAGATGGAATCTTAGGCTGACTCAGATCTGACAAAAAAGTAGATTAGGACGTGTACGCAACTGCCATTGGGTCGGTCGACTCGAGGCATTTTGGGCAAGTATTTTCCTCTATAAAAGGGGCTGAGGTAACATCAAACCCTAACTTGTATATTCTCTACACACTTTCATATCATGCTGCTTCTGCAGAACATCTTCTCTTTTCTTGATATTGACTTAAGCATCGGAGGCTCTACGCCTGAAACTCCTCCGACGTTGAGTTCTTGCAGATGTCCACGACGATCTAGAGGCGGTTCAGAAATATCGGAACTCATCTCAACCGGTTTATTCCAGATCTAAGACGAGACCCATCAATTTTTAATATGGAGTGTGTAATATAAAAATAATAATAATTAATTGTAATGAGATAAAAAATAATTAAATAATAATTAATAGTTATAAATATGTCTATGGACAAGAAATAATTTTTTTTATATAAATATATAGTAATAATATTTTTTAATTGAAAATGTGAATGAAATAGATGTAAAAGGGTAAAATAACAAGATGGATCTAAATATATGTCGATTATACCCTTACATTCATATAATTGAATCATGTTATACTGATATAAAGGACATAAAATTTAAAATAATAACACTTACTTACATCACTTTAAAATAACACTAACTATTAAACATACACATAAGTTTTTATCATTTTTATGTGAAACAATTATGTTAAAATATCTATTCCACATAGGGGTGTTCACGGTCCGGTTTTAACTGGAAAAAACCGTCAATTCGGACCGCGGATCGGTTAAATGGTCAGTTAAAAAAGCCTTAAAAAATCCGGTGGTTAATTTTTTTAAAAATCCGGAATAACCGGTCCGGTTAACGGATTACCTGCGGCAAACCGTCGGTTTAACCGGACCGGACCGGTAAATATTAAAAAACTATAACAAATATATATATACATTCAGTCATTCACTATGGCCGACAAATACAATACATTCATTATGAATGCTTTGCTCTTATTATTTCAGGTGTATAAACTGACTGAAAAATAAATGTTTGCTTGAGTTCAGTTTGCATAATTAATCTTCATCATTTTTGTATTTTTATGTTTATGGGAGGAAATGTGCATTTTTATGTTTATGAGACGAATTGTGTACTTTTTATTTCATTATTGTTGTTTTTCTTAATTTTTAAGCCCAAATAATCTCTTTAGGACCCAAAATTGAAAAACAAAAATTAATCTCAAAATGAAAAAAATAAAAATTGAAGGCCCAAAACAAGTTTTGGATTTAATCGGTTAACCGCCAAACCGGACCTTCCAATGCGGTCCGGCTTGTGGTCAGTTAAAAAATAAAACCGGTCCGGTTATGGACAAGAAAAAAAATTAACCGTTAGGTCCGATTTGGTCATGGTTTGGGTTAAAACCGGACCAATCCGGACCGTGAACACCCCTAATTCCACATAATTATTTCTGATAAAATTTGCCCTAAACCAAAAACGACGCCGTTGGTGCGATTTTCATAAAAAAGTAAAATGAACAGTAATAAGATCAAAACCACAATTGGAATTCGAATTTACGTTTTTCATCCGGACACTTCCCGCGGCCCGCCAGCCGTCGACCGCCGTCTGGTACGTACTGTTTCGCCAGAATTTTCGAAACGTCGTCACGTTTTTTGTATTCTTTTTTCGTTTATTTACCTCAAAATAACCAGTTGCCGCGAGCGTGATTGTCGAATGTTGTCCATTGAGCTGGATGTTTGAGGATGTTAGCTAGAAATTTAGAAGTTGGTGATTATTGAGCGTAAGTATGTAGTTAATGTGTTCGACGAAAGTGCTAAAAGAAATCTTGAATGGTACATGGTCGTTTGCCTTGAATCCCCACAAAAATGTTCTGTGCATGAAACCCTAAGTGCTATGTAATTGCTCGTAGTGTTTGCAGAATTGTCAGTTGAACAAGTTCAATTATGTAGCTAATTCCACACGACGTTTCGTTTTAGAAGTAAATGTGTGGAACTGTTATCATTATTATTTTTTATTTTATTTGTTTGGCATTGGCTGATTTATCAGTAAACTCATCACCTTTGCTTGTATATGAGCTGATAAAGGGTGCTCGTTTTCGAAAATTGAGAACATATGCTTACATTTGCAATAATGATTGTAAGTGATTGGTATTGTTTCACCGGAGATTTTCATAATGTTGTTACGTTTTTTGTAAGCTTTTTTCTTTATTTACCACAAAATAACCAATTTCCACGAGCGTGATGGTCGAATGTTGTTGAATGTATGGGGATGCTAACGAGAAAGTTTGAAGTTAATAGTTATCGATCCTGAGAATGTAGTTAATATGTTCGGTGAAGGTGCACAAAGAAATTTTAAATGGTACAAGTTCATTTGCAATAAATGCCCTCAAAATGTTCTGTGCATGAAACACTAAATGCTGTGTGATTGCACGTAATTTTTGCAGAATTCTCAGTCGAACAGGTTCGACTATCTCGCTGTTTCATACGACGTTTCATTTCTGAAATAAAAGTGTGGAGATTTTTTTTTTTTTTTGGTATTTGTTTCTCTGATTTATCAGTAAATTCATGCACCTTGCTCATACATGAAATGGTAAAGGATGCTCAATTTCTTACTTTGGCGCTTGGTGATTTTCTGAAAAAATGAGAACAATACTTACATTTCATAATGCTTGTATTCATTGTTTAGCATTCGCTTGTTTCGTACGGCGTTTCATTCCGGAAGTAATATGTGGGATTAAATCTTTTTGTATTTGTTTGACTGATTCACCAGTAAATTCATCTCATCGCCTTGCTTTTATATGAACCGATAAATGGTGCTTGTTTTCTTCGGCGCTCGATGATGTTTTGAAATTTGAGGACAAATACGTAACATTTCACAATGCTTGTATTCATAACTGAAGTTCAGGGTACAAGAATGGGCAGCAGCTCGTCTGAAGCAGAGTACAACACGTTCCTGGAGAAAGTTCAAAGAACAATCTACATCGACAACTTATCTCCCCTAGCTACCGAAAAGGTCATGAAGGCTGCTTTTGACCAGTTCGGGTATGTGGTCAGCATTCAATTCATCCCAAACTATTTTGAGCCGAAAAACTTGCCGGTATCTGCCCTGGTGGAGATGGAGAACGCGAAGCAGGCCCAGGGGATATTAGCCCAGATGGAGAACAACGCATTCATGGTTTTGGGCATGCCCAGGCCCGTTAGGTCCCGGCCCGCTAGGCCCGAGATGTTTGAAGACCGCCCAAGAAAACCTGGACGGAGGATCTTCTGCCGTTGGGTTGACCCGAAAGAGCCAGACTTTGAGGTGGCCAAGAAACTGAAGCATCTCGTGAGGAAACACAATGCGGAGGCATCCCTGTTGCTTGAGGTACACACTTCGTTTTGTTTGATTAGTTTTAGGTCGTGTTTGGATACAAATATATCCTTTCAAAACGAGTTTTTTTTTTTTTTTGGTTAATTTTAAAAAAGTTAGTATGGTTAGTTGTTAGTGGATTTTAAGTTTATATTAAATAATATTTAAAATAAAGATGTGAGGTGATGGTTAGTTAAAATTATGTGAGTTGATGAATAGTGAATTAAAGTTGATGTGATATGTAAGAATGATTGGTTGGTAATATTTTTAATTATATTGGTAATATTGAGGATAATGGAGTTGGGTTAGAATTGAGTTGGATTTTGAGTATGAGTTGAAATAATTGATAGACAAACACACCCTTAATTTTCAGGGTGTTTATGGAAAACTAGACGAGGTTCTACTTTATGACAGAATAACACAGTAGTTTTTTCGACTATTAGCTATCTTTGTTACTGAGTTCAATAAGTAATTAGTAATGCATAACCGAGTTGTGCTTCTAAAATTACTTGGCTAACTTTTGTCTATTAGGTTTAAGTTTTAGGCCATTTATGGATTATTTATTCAGTTGTGTTTAGATATGGCTGGTGCTTGTGACACTTGGTTCGGCTGCTAGCTAAACGTTAAATCTTTCCGAGTTGCCTTCTCAAAAATTACTAATACATTTGTTAGGTGTTGCAAACATTCTTGGGGTTCTCTATTTCTTAACCGAAATTGAAATTTGTAGGGTAATTTGGCTAAACATCGAGTACTGTTTATGTTCTTCTTCGACTCCAACGAACTTAACTGATATCAAACGTTATTATCGAATTAAATGCAGCACCAAGTGGCAGAGGAGGAGAAGCTCGCGAAGCAGCAGAACGAATTTCTGAAAGGCCAATACAAGAAGTTTGAGCTGCTTGAGGGCGTGTTTTTGGATGGGACTGCCAAGAATTTGGCACGTAACTACGACATGTCTGTCACAGATGGTTGATGGGTTTTTTCTTTATTACATATATATTTTGTCCAAAAAAATGTAGAGAAGGGCCTATTTAGGAGCAGGAGATTATGTTGTAGGTGGCTGCTGTAAAAATGTCTAATGCCAAGCTAAGCTAACAATTTAACACTGGCTTTTGAAGTATTTTGCTCTACGTAAGGGAAATAGGTATGCAGTTCAGTAACTGAAACTCTGCAACACTTTTTGTGGGTAAGGAAACTTTCTGGGGTCATATTATATGATTGTTAATGGATTGGGAAAATTTATGGAAACATAACACAAGTTTTATCGTGTGCGACAAATTCTTGTGTGAGGCCAGTGCATAACGGTTTGGCGGATCGGCTCGTTATATTTTTTTAACAAAAATGCGTATTTATATTGAAATTCTCGTACTTTTATTTAGGTTGATTTCTAAATTATGCACATTTGTTAAAAAAAAAAAAGCTTAATGCCTAGGTTTGCCTGACGCTAGTCCTACCACCGAGTGCACTTTTGTTCAGTAAGGCTACTTTTACCTTGACTAACGATGAGACAATTATACAGTTTAGATATATATACATTCTTTTAAAACTGAAATATCATACTCCAAATAATAGATAACATTTTTCGAATAAGTATACATATTTATTAAAAAGTATATATATTTGTTCTTTTAAATTGAAATATCATAGATGACATGTCCCCGAATAAGTATACATATTTATTAAAAAGTAAGACGAGTTGACTAATCATAAATACAAAATAGATCACTTTTTTTGAAGGGAAAGACATTGTACGTATGTCGTACGTAAGGATATACATTACCAATATAATCAATAACAAAGGATTATTAAAACTGGGTTGATAATATAAATTATATATTACTAACTAATCAAGAATGTTAAGGAGCCAACTGTTGTCTCCTTAGCATTACTGACTAACTAATAGTTACTTGTATAGAAATAAATATTAATCACACAACCAACAGTGCTCAGATCCCGTGATCTAAAAAATAATGAAACCTTCATTACGGTTTTCCATAATAAATAAACTCTCCATATCTACAAGTAGACCTAACTATCACCTTAATAAATACTCACGAGCTTAGGTTTTATTTTTTAAGTGATTCTAAGGCTAAATAGGTAAATCCACCACATTTCTATAAATTTCATTTACTTAAATAGCTAACCTCAAACAATTAATCGAACTCGTTTACTTAGAGCTTGTTTGCAAATTATTGGATTTTTTTTTCCTATGAGGATTAAATGAAATAGCCAAGCCGAAAAAATATTGTATTCGCAAACAACTTATTAGTTTTAGCTTTTTAAACGAGTGAAGTCGACCCAAACTTCACGAGTTTAACGAGCTAACCCTTATGTTTGTGTATAATATGAGTTGAACCGAGTCGATTTCTTTATTAAACAACCTCGAGTCAAATAAACTCGGCTCTACTACGTTGAAATAACACTCTTTCTAATAAAGTCGATAGACCGTAAATTGATTGTCCGCATTACAAGTGGCAAAAGTGGACATTGCACCATAGACCACTCAATTCACTCTGATGACTGCACTGAAATTACTAAGTCTTTTACGGTTAGATCAACATTTAAATATACATACCATACGTGTTTGTGTTGATCCAACGGTAAAATGTACTGAAATCACTAGGTTCTTTACAGTTAGATCAACATTTACCCACACATACATACAACTGTGTGTTGATCCAATAATACTCCACAAGTGTAATATTAGATTGAAATTAACATCTAATTACAACATTTTCATGTGGGATGACAATGGGACATGTCGGACCATTTTTTTTAAATACTTTCTTTTTCCTTTTTTTTTTTTCAATTTAATAATCATTCACACAGCTATATAATCTCATCAGCTAATCCTCACATTTTCTGAACACATTCAACAAACTTTCTCCAAAAAACACACACGCAGTCACACACACAATTCATCACCATTTTTGCCTTTCCCAATGCAAGCGAGATCTGCAATATCTCTATCTCCAAACTTCAACACTCGCGTCGCCGGAATCTCGGCGCGGGTGGCCGGAGAAATCGCTTCCGATGGATTTCGCGACGAATTACGTGCGGAGGGAGAAGAGAATTGGAGATTCCTAGAGAGAGAGGAGACTGGAAATACTGTAATTCCGGGGGAAGACGGCGGCGAGGATAGCGAATTCGAGTTCTCCTTCGCGGGGAGAGGCTCCGAGATGCCGTCCCCTGTCTCCGCGGACGAGATCTTCTGCAACGGCCAGATCCGACCCGTTTACCCGTTTTTCAACGCGGATTTGTTTCCGAATCGAGTCGGATTTGGGGGAAGAGACGAGGAGGAGTGCGGCGTCGGTTCTACCGTACGGATGCCGTTGATGAAGCTGTTTATCGAGGAAAGGGAACCGGCGATGGCGGCGGCGGCGATGGCGGCGGCGGCGGCGATGGCGGCGGCGGCGGCGACGTCGGGCTCTTCGTCGGAGGCGGACGAGCTGGACGGAGTTCCGGCGGATACGTACTGCGTCTGGCGGCCGAAGGAGGCGGCGGCGGAGGCGGAGGTGCGATGCAGGAAGAGTAGCTCCGTCGGCTCGAGGTCCAAGCGGTGGAAAATCGGAGACCTTCTGCGCAGGAGCCACAGCGATGGAGGTAAGGACCGTTTTTTGGTCTTTTTGAGCCGCGGCGGTAGCTGGAGAAAGGCGGATGAAGGGGAGGACAAAGTCAAAATCGCCGGGAAAGTGAGGCCTGCGGCGTGTCGTTCGCCGCTTGGTAATCGGGACGGCGGTGAAAAGAGGCGGTCGTACTCGCCGTACAGACAGGATTTTTTGGGCCTTTTCGCCGGTGCAAATGGGCTGAGTAAAAATTTGCAGCCGTTTTAATTTTGTTTTTTATATTTTAATGTTTTTTAGCTTCTTTTTTGTTTCTTTTATATTAAAAAAAATCAAGTTTGATTAGATGTTATTCGAATTCTATCAAATTCATAGTATTATTTGTTTTTATAAGGACCTTAATATGATAGAATACCTAAAAGTTGAGCCCTATACTAGAATTTTCCCATTTTAATTGGGCCTTAATATGATAGAATACCTAAAAGTTGAGCCCTATACTAGAATTTTCCCTATAAGGAAAATTTTAAGTTTTTAATAGTATCATGTTGTTTTTCCATCATACTATTTGGTTGTGTTGTGATTAGGCATACGTTATTTTCAATTTCATGTCATCGGAAAGAAACAGAAATAATAGAATTGTAATTTTACTATTTCTGTATGTAATTATAATTGGATATAGCGTGAATTCAAATAGAATAATTAATTGAGATTTTAGTAGAAAGTGAAACTTTAGAATTTAGATATTTGCGAAATTAAACCACGGACAAAAGGAACACTAGAATGAAAATTTGTGATTAAAATTTAGTTAGACGACTTTATAGAAAAAAAAAAAAGAAAAAAAAAANGGCAAAAGTTGGCGCGAAACCATTGATTATCATGTTTCTCAAGTTGTTAAATCTCTTATAAATTCAAGTTTATCCTTTGTTAAGCCCCCAACTAAATATAATCTCTTAATTTACAAGACATCGCTGGATTTAATCTTAGAAAGTTGATTCAATTCCAGACGGTTCAATCGAATATTTTGACGATCAATTTATTTGGACACTCCACTCTGCAAAAATTCGGAAGAATGAATTTATATTTTTACTAAAATACGAATAAATATGAAATAAAGATATACTAATCAGAGGTAATGTATATAAAATTATAAAATATAAATATATGTGTTGTATATGATAATTGTTTTTTTTTTAATAATATAGAACTCGTTAACTATAGAAACAAATTAATGAATTGTTATTTTCTATGTTTTTTTATTTTTCATTTTCATACTTGTATTGTAAGAGTTACAAGCTTTCTATATGTTTACAAAGTCAACAACGATTTTTAATAAGGATAGGACTAGAATAACTAAAAGGCTATTCTCACCTTTATTGATTATAAAATCTTGAAATATTTGAAACATAGGTTTCTTGTTTGAGAAATGGGGTGGACACTTTCAAGAAGTATACTTTGGATCTTTCTCATTATAAATTAAAGCTTTGTCAATCAATACTCTTTCTCACCCACTTCATATGATATATATATTTCTAGACAATTATTTAGAGTACAAAAACAAAATGAATCGTTCGTGAGGTCGACTAAATTCGTTAAAATTCGAGCTCGGCTCAAATATTAGGCTTGAAAAAAAAGAGTTTTTTAGGTAATTTTTTGAACTTTTAATATACTTCGACTTGTTAAGGTTCAAACTCGACTTATTAAGGCTCGTAACTCAAGCTCGTTAATTTAACAAAATTAGTTAGAGATGTTAAATAACACGAGTTGTGACTTACATTGTTTTAAGGCTCGAACTCTAAATGCGAGCTCGTTCAACAAGACTAGAAAAATAGGAGTTTTTGATTGTGGCGTATATGATGATGATGATGATGATAATGAAGTCCTATTGCATTAATCATCTTCTTTATTTTCTTTATTAAATTTTGTTTTGTGGGATTTTGGAAGTCATGCGCTATCTGGTCATAGTTATTATCATAACGTGCTGCATTTTGAACTATTTGGAAAGATGTATATAAGTTCATGAATTCTTTTTGTTGTGTTCTTTTTACTTTTCATTTTTATTTTCTGAGATATGCATTTAATGATTTGAATGCATTGGATAAATTGCAAAAATCGCGGTAAAATACCTTTAAATATGATATACTGAAGAAATAATTGTCCATGGAGAGAAATGTGAGCAAATATAATTATCCTGAGAAAAAAAAAAATGAAATAGGAAGTCCAAGTATCAACAATTTATTGAGAAAATTTTGGGCCCTTTTGACTCTTTTTGGTCTTGGTTCAGTGATTGTCAATTTCTTATCCATATCAATTTCCACAATAGAATTTTCAACAAACCTTGGAAAATGGGTAAAAGATGGAGAATCTTTCTCATTTTCTTTTCTTTAGATCTTTTTATTTTATCTTTTTAAATTTTCACAGCCATCACTGCCGTGCTTCGTGTAAATCTTATGTAGGTGATGTTAAAATAAGCAAATATGGACCTCTTGCTCGTTTAATGAATGAGTCATTGTTTAAGCTCGTGAAATTTTGATTATAATCGTCTCGACTTGTTTGATAAATTTAAAACCTTAAAGGAAAAATATTCGTTCGCAAACAAATTTGGCTCAGCTTATTTGTTTAATAAATTAAAACCTTAGAGGAAAAATATTCGTTCGAAAACAAATTCGACTCGGCTTATTTTAAAAATCGATGTTGATTAGTTGTTCAAATTCTAACAAGTTGGTTTTCATAGTTATTCAAATTCTAATTGAAAAAATATATCTATTAAAATTCCCAAATAAAGCTACACAATATAAAGTGATGAGAGGACAAAATTAATGAAAAGTGGAAAATATATTATAATGCACAAAAGCAGCAATAACATGTGAAATTATATTAGTTCACACATGATTTTTTCTCCCTTTACTTTTTGGGCATTTTTCCTTTAATGATGGCAATTTTGATGTAATCATTTTACCATTTTTTTTTTCACTCTCATACTTATAAACCCATTGAAATGAGAGGCCAAATATTGCAAATATAATTTTACATAACTGGTTTTGAATTACACAAACATAGGTTTTAACCAAAAAATTAGCGTTCACTTCGGTTCGGTTATCGATTAATCACAATAAATAATAATTTTCTCAATAAATTCTGAATTTTTAACTGAATAAAAATTTTAATTTTTATTCAAAAAAAAAAAATCACCTACTTTGATCTTCTCAATAAATTTCAAATTCTCCCCTAAGGAGGGTCCAATAAATTTCAAATTCTTCTTTAAGGAAGATCTTGGACCCGAACCATATCTTAGACTATGACGAAACTAATCTTGAATGCAAATTAATGTTTGAGCCATTTTAGGGGTTATTAAAGCTCGACAATCATCAATAACTAGTAATCAACATGTGCAAATGCACAGAGAATATTACTTTAGAAAGATAACAATAAAAAAAATCATAATTTAATTCATGAAAAAATATGAATTAAGAAAATAATTCTCAAAATTGATTTTGATCAAGTAATTGTTATGGAAGAGCCATTAACAACCATTTTCTTTATGCTAATTGCTAATATATCCGGTCATTTTCATGAGTGAGTGTGACTTAAAATTTGAGTACAATTTTGTAACTCCCTTGATTGGTTTGTGTTCATAATTTATGACATTCAAGCAAGTTATTTTGTAACTTAAAAATGAAATTGAATGTTGAAAATTGTGGAGGGATAATAAAATTTAATGCATGATAATATAACTAAATGTTATGTTGCTCCTCTTTATATATATATAGATATAGATTGAAGCAAATTAATGCTTTATGACTTATATGTATAAATAAAAAAAGTATGTATAGATACATGTGTGTGTATAAATTGATTTTCAGTTCAGTTCGGTTAACCAATCACTATTATTCAAACAGAACCAAAAACCGAAATTTTAAGAAAATATAAACCGAAAAATCGAACCAAATATTCCGTTATAGTTTCGGTCTGAATTTCCTCTTCCAGTCAGTTCGACTCGGTTAACTGAATTTTGTGCACTCCAGTTTATATATGTATATAAACAAAAACCCAAACATTCCTGTTATGTTACATTGTTACCCCTCAAAAAGCCCATTTCTACAAGTCCCATTTTTCCACACTGCAATGACTGGTAAAAACAGAAGATAATTTTCCATTGTTTATGACCTAAAGCTGCTATCTCTATTGCCCCCTCTAGCTGAAAAAAATACTATTCAAATCAACTCCACACTATCGGCTTTTTCCAGTCAAATTTCCGGTCAAACCAGCACAGGTTTTAAACCGATCGACGGTTGCAAACTGGCGGCATAATCACGGGCCCACGAGTCAAAGTACACGATATCTTCAAGCGAAGGCAAGGACACTAATTCAGCTCGATGCTTATCGCACGTTAACTCCACCACTTTAAATATGTCAAGGTACCCGATTCTGCAAAAATAGTTTATTTCTATCATTTTGGAGCGCGTTTAATGCAAACACCACGACATAATAAACCCGAGCACAAGAATTCTTCTAAAATCTAGCAAACGTCGCGGCAAAATGGCGAAAAAAAAAATCACTCACTGCTCGTTGATAAACATTTCCACAGCTTTCTCGTTAGCTGCGCTAAGAACACCGGTCATGGTCCCACCAGCTCGTCCGGCAGCATAAGCCAAATCCATCGATGGATACTTCACATTATCGGGAGCCTTGAATGTAAGAGAGCCGAGCCTGAACATAATTCAAGTTGAATTTTTATTAAGGCAAAAATGCATTTTTATTCATGTTGGTTTAATGCCATTGCTCCAACTTTTCGCCTTTATGGTCCTTTGATTTAATATCCTGCTGCAATTTGAGTCATCTGAGGATGGACTGAAATTGCAATAGAATTTTAAATTACAGGACTGAAATTGCAAAAAAAAAAAATAAAAAAATATTAAATTGCTAATCCAAAATCTGTGAATTTGGGAATTTGTTGCAATGCATGACTGAAATCGCAACAAAATATTAAATCAGAAGACCAAAAGGCGAAATGATGGAACCTTAGGACTAAAATTGTTATGACGTTAAACCAGGACGACTAAAATGCAAAATTTTGCCTTTTTATTAAAGCGTGTAAAAAAAGTGGTAAATGAATTCATGTTTTATCGGTCATGGTAATAATTACTTGCAGAGATCAAGTCGAGGCCACGTGATTTCAGAACAGTAAATTCTGTCGGGCCACGACAATGTGTATAGAATCGGTAAACGCATGTCGGGCCATCCTAATTGTGCTAGCACAGATGAATCCTGAAAATCGTCAAATAAAAACGAGTCACCTTATGTAACATTTGAAGAGGGCATTTATAATTTTGGAAAAAAAAATAGTAACCNATGAATTATCTTTGTATGATAAATAAAAAAAAAAAACAAATAAATAAAAATTAAAACAAACGGAAACGAAACTTGTGTTTTGTTCAAGAAATGCACATAATAATCTCAAGTTACCTTGTTAAAGAGTGTAGCAGAGTCAACCGTAATCTTTTTCCCCATATTCCAATTAGGATGCTTTAAAGCATCCGCTACTTTCACGTTTTTCAATTTATCAACCGGCAAATCCCTTCATTACCATATTTACACTTGATTTAGCGAAACTCAATCACAAATGCTATATTAGAAATAAATACTAAATAGAGGATTTACATATAAAAACACTAAAAAATTATTATATTTTCACTAGTTGTTGTGCAATCCTATATGAAAAATTAAGAAACTTAATTAGGCTTTAGGAAATCAATAATTGTCTTCTCTATTTGCCAACTTCGATATCCATTCTAAAACGAGTCTATGTAAATTTCACACTAATTAACAATTATATAAATCTTTATCTAAAAAGTTCTTGAGGAAATTGTCTTCACCTGAAAGCACCCCCTGATGCCGTCAAAATTATTCGCCTCAGAGCACCTTCTGGCAATCCTTGTATACACTAAAAATGTACAAAAAAATTACACGATCATAAGAAAAAAAAAATAGTAATATCACACGACAAGATAATTTGCTAATCATATTAGAAAAATTGGTAAATTGCTCTATATTAGAATTTCGTCATACTTGAAATACAGCCGAATGTTCGGAGTCTGCAGGAAGAATCTTCACATTATGCTTGTGTGCAAGAGGAAGAACAAAAGGCCCTCCAGCAATTAGTGTCTCTTTATTGGCCAAAGCTATGTCTTTTCCAGCTGTTATGGCAGCCACCGTAGGCTAAATTTATCAAATTTTCGATATTTTAGATTCTAAACAGATTTCTCATTCTTTGTGCAAAAAACGAATACATTTGGCGAAATACCACCAGAAAAAATTAGTACATGCACTTGATAACTGAAAGTAGTTCCGAACACAAGTACTTTTTTCCTCACTATAATGATATGAATCAATCTTGTATTAATTGTGGCACTCAATGAGGAAGAATTTATTCAAAATTATCGAATAATGAGGAAAGAATTGTGAAATTTACCTTCAAGCCCGCACAGCCAACAATCCCAGTTACCACAGTAACAGCATCTGGATGCCGAGCGACCTGGAATAAGAGATTCATTAGGATGGATATTTGAAGATTTACACAAATATTAACGACCGAAATAAATAAATAAATAGCAGTTATGAAACATAACCTCAATAACTCCCTGCTCTCCAGGAATAATCTCGGGCTTGTCGATGACATCAGCCAGAGCTTCCTTGAGCTCATCAACTAACGACTCATCTCGAACAGAAACTAATTGCGGTCTAAACGTCTTAACCTGCATTTGATGTTAAAATCTTTTGACTCTTATCAGAAGTTGATGGGATTTGTAAATATGTTAAAAGTTGAGTGATTGCATGCAAAATTCAAACAAGAATCAAACCCAGGAATTAAGAGAATCCCTCTAATTGCCTTTTAGATTACGATTGAATTACGCAGTGGATTGGATTGAATATTTCTTTATTCTTTTTTCTCAACCAAATGCTGATAATCACTACTTTCCTTAACGGTTGAGCGATTACTCGAACGTGGTCTCACGACACAGTTACGTTTGGATTAGATGGTTAAAGTATGAAAACTACATATATCCTAAACTAATAATTTTAGTATTTTTCCTAATAATCAATTAATCGATCACCTGATCTGCAAGAAGAGTCACATTGGAACCAGCAGCAAGCGCAACAACCTTAAACTTATCTGGATTTTCGGCAACTATATCCAATGTCTGCAAAAGCATGCATTTATCTATAAACAATCAAAGAGAACAATAAAATGGATCTCATACTTATCCCCTGTCCTAAATCGAGAACGAGAAAATAAATAAATAATTGTATTTGTTAGCTGCCTCATTGCAGAAAATTGACTTTAGGACACACATCAAGAGTTAAAAATTATACTCAGCCATTATCAGACGCAGTATGTGCACACCGACTCAAAGACACTCCGGTTAAGATATTTATTTACATTTAAGTTTTTCAACACATGACAACTTGTATATCTGAAAACCTGAGTTCCAATGGAGCCAGTGGATCCAACAACCGAAATGGGCTTCGGGCCTTCCCAAGATTTCCTTTCGGGCTCGATTACGGCCAGGCCAGGCCAAGCCGGAGGAGGTGTCTGGGCCGAACAATGGACTCTTTTTGCAGAAGTGCATCCATTTTCTTTTCTTTTGAAAGAAAGCCCAACTGAAGAAAATCCATTATATTGTC